CTCAACTCGATACATCATAAAGGGACCAATTCGGTGACTCACGACCAGACTCACCGAGTCGCCTATATGACTCGCCGAGTCGCCGCCATGCATCCACCAAATACACCGATTTGCTCGATTTCAGTCCATGCCATTCATAGATCTGGACTTCTAGGACACAAATCACACGTAAAGTTTCCAACTTTACGTGTGGATATTCACCAATATGGATTTTAGGGCTCAAAATGCCTTAAAAGGGTAGATCTAGGGCTAACAAGCAACATGGGGCCATAAAGCTAACAGATCTGAGCTCCTGGAGCTCAATCTTGCCTAGATCCAGAGGCCAAACATCTTATTACGACATATAATGCACATACAAGCTTGGGGATTTGACCAAGAAAGACCCAAATGAAGTTTTAAGCATAGAATCATGGGGAAAACGGGTTATACCTCAAGGGAACTGCTGGAAGAACACAATAGTTGCTTGGATGGCTTTCCTTCTTCTGGATCTACTTCTTTCCTCCTTCAAAACCTTCAAAAACACCCACAAAAGTCTCAAACTCTCAAGGAACGGCTTAGGACGAGGGATACAGGGCTCTAAGGGTGAATGGGGGCTGGCTTGGGGCAGTTAAGTCGTTTAAATAGGGTGCAAACCCCTGAAACTTAGGGTTTCATCCAACAGCGGCGACTCGCCGAGTCGCCAACTTAAAACGTGACCTGGGTCGCGTCTCTACTCGGCGAGTCGGACCTATGACTCGCCGAGTCCAAGGCTAAAATAGGAAATATTCGAATAAGATTTACATACCAGAAACCAGGTGCTACAAATCTCCCCCACTTATTTTAGACTTCGTCCTCGAAGTCTGCTGCTCGATCCTGAAACAGCTCGGGGTAATGCTCCATCATCTCGTCCATAGGCTCCCAAGTCCATTCTGAACCCTTGCGGTGCTGCCACTGCACCTTCACTAATTCCACTCTCTTGTTCCTCAAATCCCTCGACTTCCTGTCGAGGATTGCGACTGGGCGCTCAATGTAATTCAGGCTGTCATCAACCTGAATATCCTCCAAAGGCACTACTGCTGAATCGTCCACTAAGCACTTCCGCAACTGAGAAACATGGAAAGTGCTGTGGATCTGGCTGAGCTCGGCTGGCAGATCCAACCTGTACGCCACCCTGCCCACCCGGGCTACGACCCTGAACGGTCCGATGAATCGCGGGCCCAACTTGCCCCGCTTCCTGAATCGAATGACGCCTTTCCAAGGCGACACCTTCAGGAGAACCATATCCCCGACTTGGAACTCCAAATCGGATCGACGCTTGTCGGCATAACTTTTCTGCCGACTCTGAGCAGTCTGAAGCCTGCTCCGGACCTGCTGGATCCTCTCGGTCGTCTTGAGCACCACTTCGGTGCTCCCCATGACCCTCTGGCCAACTTCACCCCAGCATATCGGGGTCCTACACCTCCGTCCGTACAGCATCTCGAAGGGAGGGCAGTCGATACTCGCGTGGTAGCTGTTGTTGTAGGAGAACTCGGCCAGGGGAAGATAGGTATCCCAGCTACCACCGAAGTCTAGCACGCACGCCCGCCATATCCTCCAGAGTCTGGATGGTCCGCTCGCTCTGGCCATCCGTCTGCGGGTGAAAGGCGGTGCTAAAATGCAGACGAGTGCCCAACTCGTCATGGAATTTCTTCCAAAATCTGGAAGTAAAACGCACATCCCTGTCCGAGATCACCGATACTGGCACCCCATGCCGTGCCACAATCTCCCTGATATAGATGTCGGCCAATTTTTCGGCCGATATGCTCTCCTGAATCGGAATAAAGTGAGCACTCTTGGTCAATCTATCCACGATGACCCAAATCGAATCCACTCCACGTGCGGTCCTGGGAAGCTTCGTGATAAAATCCATCGTGATATCTTCCCATTTCCACAGTGGAATATCCAACGGCTGCATCTTGCCATGCGGTCTCTGATGTTCGGCCTTGACCTTCCTGCAGGTCAAACACCGCTCGACGTACCATGCCACATCCCGCTTCATGCAGGGCCACCAGTAATCCGGACGAAGATCCCTATACATCTTCGTCGCCCCGGGATGAATAGAGAATCGGGACTTGTGCGCCTCCTCCATCAAAATCTGGCGCACGCCTCCGTGATACGGCACCCACACCCTACGGTGTAGTGTCAAAAGTCCTCGGCCATCATAATCAAAGGAGGAAACCTGACCCACCACACGCTCGCTCTTCCGATGCTCCTCCTTGATAGCCTCCTGTT